GAATTAGTCTTTGATAATATTAGTCAGAATACCTTGAAAGATGCAGAGTTACAAATGAATCAACACATAATTCTCTAAATACATACAAAATGATTTCCTGATTTTACCGCCCAGTCCTCTATTTTTCCCGTCAGCTTTTATAGTGTTACAAGTCTGTTCACATAGACTACCATGTGAATGCCACTTGGGAGCATTCCCAAGTAGAATGCTACTTGAGAGAGGCTACAACACTGTAGCTTCTGCTTCAGAGGGAATGCCTTCCAAACAAACACAGATTAAAAGGAAAAAAAATACAAAATCAACATTTCCAAAGCATGTTCTTCAAGATACTAGTATACTAAGGACAAGCAATAGGTATTACAGAAAAAAAGAATCTCATAGCTAAGTAAGTTTGGAGTTTGCTAGGTTAAGCAAAGTTTAACAAGTTGCTTTACCATAGGACTTATTCTTTAATCCATTCATGGTATGGCCTTCCCTGAAGCACCCTGACCAAACTTTTGAAAATGCCTATGTACAGAATTTGGTAAATGCCTACAAACCCCAGGCGGGAAGTAAAAGATGACTTCAAGAGTTCAAGCCTTAGCATAATAAATTGTCAATACTGGGGCTTTTGACAAAAATTGGATATGCCGGGCGCGGTGGCTCACGCCTGTAATCCTAGCACTCTGGGAGGCCGAGGCGGGCGGATTGCTCAAGGTCAGGAGTTCAAAACCAGCCTGAGCGAGACCCTGTCTCTACCATAAAAATAGAAAGAAATTAATTGGCCAACTAATATATATAATATAAAAATCAGCCAGGCATGGTGGCTCGTGCCTGTAGTCCCAGCTACTCGGGAGGCTGAGGCAGGAGGATCGCTTGAGCCCAGGAGTTTGAGGTTGCTGTGAGCTAGGATGACGCCACGGCACTCACTCTAGCCTGGGGAAGAAAGCGAGATGTGCACCATCTGGGGGATGGTCATGATGGAGACTCAGACTTTTGGGGGGAGGGGGGGAAATGGGCATTTATTGAAACCTTAAAATCTGTACCCCCATAATATGCCAAAATAAAAAAAAAAATTGGATATGAGGAAAGGCATACATTTGGAGAAAGATGTAGCCTGTGAAGAGGTCAGCTGTAGACAATGGGCTAGAGCACAGGAGGAAGCACAAGCAGGGTACACAGGACTGGCAGTTGCTCCCAGGGACCAGGCTAAGCCGTTAGACTAGGTTTATTTCCTTAGAAACACATTGAGATTACCTCTTCAATCAATCAATCAATCAATGACAACTCCTTCAAAGCCTCTTTTGCCTTTATCCTAGCTCTAGCTTTACTATCTCCTGCTTCTTTCTAGCAGTAAATCTAGAAAAACATAAGGATATGATGACTTTAATGATAGGAATAATATAAATTAAAACTAGAAAATTGTCTAGAGAAAAGATGGCACAATGCATGTGAAAATCATATTAAATGTTGATAATGTGATCTAGTATAGAACTACTTACTTTCTGCAAGAAAACTTTTTCAAATAATAAACCTACAGATTATTTATTGTTTTTCTTTTTTTGGATCACTGATATCTTTGAGAACGCAATGAATGCTATAAGCCATCTCTACAGAAAAACACAAATACATACAACATCATGCCTACTAATGTCAGAGTGCTTCATTGACCTCCTGAGGCCCGACCAAAGAGCTCTAGCTGTCAACTCCTAGGTCCCTAGGTAATCCAGCTGCAGCTACTTCATGACAGATAAAATTCTGCAGAATTACAGGGCACTCAAAAATAAGCTATGATTTTTTTTTTTTACTGTATCTTCAAGTGTTTTAAGATAGTGCAGATGAAATGTGTATTTGCATTGGCCTGAAAAAAATAAAGATAACTTATTTGTTGGGTAAAACTTGAATCATTTATTTACTACCAAAAGTAGAACAGCATATGATGGTAATAATATCTTCTCAACAAAACAGCACCGAGAGGCTGATTTTACAAGGTCACAAAGCTAATAAATCCCAGATCATTCACATCATAGTTTAGCACTTTTTAACTAAACCATGCCACCTTAATTACAATAAATGTTATCACACTGAGTAGGATACAATTTTCAAAATAAAAATCCCTTAAAACGCCAACCTTCCAAGAATGACTACAAATAATTAGGCCTCTAACTTATTTACTTAATCCAATCATTCCATTTTTAGCACCTCAATGCTGACAGATAAGGGAGCAAATTATTCACATTGGCTTTTGAAAACAAAATGTACTCCTATTAATAATTAGTCAACACAATTAGTATAAATAAGAAGAAATATAAAACAGCAAAACAAACACAAAAATTATGTATCTTTATAGCATAAATGTGATTACAGACAAAAATACAAATAGTTTAAGTCTGAGGTTTAGCAGGCAGAGGTACAATGCCAAAAACCACATGGAGTTTCTCTGCTTTGGTCCCTGGTATTGGGAGAGTCTGGCAGACAGGGAATCAAGCATCTATTATCTGATGTCCACTTGGCAGACCACAAAAACAGTGAGGCCTGGCTGCACAGCAGAAGTTGGGTATTCTAACTACTACTTAAAAGATCCACACTAACTTACAGTGTGGCTACAACTCAAATGCTGAACTAAATGGGTGCCTCAGTTTCTCCACTGGATATCAGGTCATACACTATCTTTCCATGTTCTATCTTTAAAGAGGCAGCAGTGGTTAAAAATGCAATCTTTAACTGGTTCGAAGTTTGGCCCTGCCACCTACCCACCTTGGCAAGTTACTTTAATATCCCTGTGCCTCTGTTTCTTCAACTGCAAAATGGAGTTAATAACAGCATTTATCTCATGGGGTTGTCATTAGGATTAAGTAGAAAAATCATAGAACGGTATCTGGCAAGTAATAAGCACTCCATAAATGTCAGCTAGTATTATCATTATTTTAAACGGATGACAAGATCAATCAACTTATTATACCTCTATTGCACTTAACAAACTGCAGGCCCTAATTTTTTTTACTTTTTAATCAATTACTAAGTTTTTTTAAATATTGTAAATACATGGCCAATTATTCTTGTAAAGAACTCTAAAAGAACTTATTGTACACACTGCCACCTAAGACTTATACATTCATAAAGTTTCAGTTAACTTTCCATCTGAACATAATTGGACACCCCTCTCCCAACCAGTTGTTAGCCACTTAGATCTATCCATTTCTACTTTCACAGTCATCACCATATTCCAAAACATCATTATTCTTACCTGGACTATCACAATATCCTCCTAACTACTCTTCCCCTCCATTCCACACTTCACACTGCAGTAGGGAGATCTTTTACAAATCTAAACCTAACTTCACTAGCTGCTTAAAACCCTGCAATGGCTCCCCACTGCCCTAAGAAGTTCAATCTCCTTACCAGAACTAAGAGGCCTGCAAGATCTAGGGCCATTCTCCCTGTCTGGCTGCTCAGACCATACAGGCCTTCTCTCAAAACCAGGCCTCAGAGCCTTCACACGTGTTCCCAGTATCTGGCATAATCCCCTCTCCCCATTGCCCTAAGAATGTCTAAGCATTTTCAGATCTCAACTAAAAGGTGATGAGCCTCTGACTGCCCAAATGAGATCAGGTTTGCCTGTTACATGCCCTCATAACCCTAATCCTAATACTCTTCTCTGCAGCACAAAATAAAACTGCAATACAGTAAGTATGTAAATGGTTGCTTGATGTTGTTCTTCTCCAAAACAAGAAAAACTCCTAGTAAGATTTGGGACCACAACTTTTACTGCTACAACCCAAATGCTTAGATGTCCAGTACCTTTTACACTGTAGGTATATTCAATACAGCTGTATCGTCTCTGGGGAAAAGTGGTGAGATCCACAATGGTGAAAAGCAAACCATCCACAAAACAAGACTAATGCAGAACGCTGGCTGCACTGTTTTAAATACCTAAGTTACCAGGCATTACAATGAAGTAAGAGTAAAAACGTACTGCTTCAACATGGTCAAAACAAAGTTAAGACTAAACTTTCCAGTGTGAAATTAAGTTTCTCTGTGTATCTTCAGGTGTTATATGAAACAGTAGGAGTTCAACTTCAGTTACCAGTAATAAGATACACAACTAAATCCAGACTGCTGCCACATTTGGCACCATCCTCCTCTCTTCTTGGCAGTCCCCGCGAGGCCAAGAGTTGAGCTGGCCAGGGACGACTGATTTATCCTCCCACATTTAGAAGTGGTCCCTCTGCAACAGGAATGCCGTACTAGTCATGGACTTTGAATTCTAACCTTGTCAAACCAGTACCTTTAATAAGGATTCAATTCGCTTTACAAAAACAAAACAAAAAAGCTGATTCCTATGTGTCACTGACAAAAACAAGTTTCAAAGGCATCACAGTCCAATTCGACTCGGCGAACACAAAGTTGCTCCTTCCTTTCCCCCTCCCCAAAAATCACACTAACTAGATCTCTTTTACAAAAGAAAGTCATTACTTGGGAAATTAAAAGAAACTGATAGGCGGATGCTAAGAGGCTAAAGGCTGAGGACTGTCGACGGAGGTCGCCCGGCGTATTAGCTACTACCAGGCCTTGTGGGCAGTAGCTCCCAACCTACAACGGACAAGCCCGGGACCGTGTGAAGCACGCAGGTCTGACAACGCCGACCGGCTGTCTGCTTTGTCGCACTGACCCTGCCAAGGCAACAAACGCCCAGTCCCTCTGCACAGCGAAGAGCACGGTGGCTCGCTCCTGTTCAGCTCTTCCCTGCAAACGCGCGCAGGAGGGGAGGTGTCAAAGATCACGTCCAGGGGAGGGCTCAGGTAAGGACTCGGAGGTCTCGGGGTGAAACATTTGGCCCTTTGTTCAACCCCAGGCGGCAGAGCCCAGGCGCCGGCTGCTCCTCCTCCCCCACTGCTCCCGGGCGCCGGCGTCTCCAGAGGGCAGGCAGCGCGCACCCGGGCGCCCAGGCTCGGCGGCGCCCCGGCCCCCGCCAGAGTCGGGACCCCGCAGCCCCGGCGGCGCGCGGCCCCTGCCTTTACCTTGTAGACGTCGCCGTAGGTGCCGCTGCCGATGCGCTGAATCAGCTCGAAGTCCTCCTGCGGGTTCCGGCGGGACAGATCGAAGCCGGGGTTCATGGCGGGCCCCGGGTGCCCCCCGCCTCCCTCCCGGGCAGGGGAGGGGGGGCGCTCAGGGGGCCACACGGAGAGTGGGCGCCGCGGCCGGCCCCCTGCTCCCCTGGCGGTCACAATCGCCCGGCTGCACGCTGCGGCCCGCCGCCGCTCCCCTCACGCCGCCGCCGCCGCCCCGCCGCCGCCCGGCCTAACCGTCCCCGCCCCCCGCAGCCCGCAGCCGCGCCGCGCCGCGCCGGGTCACACCCACAAGGAGAGGAGAACGCTCGCAGCCCCTCGCTCGGGGTGAAACTCCAACATGGCTTCCGCTTTCGCCGCTCCTCCCCCTCCCCTTACTCCGGCTCCTCCGCCTTCCTCCCCCTTTTCCCGGCGCCGGCCCGACTGCGCAGCCGCGATCCCGGAGGGAGCGCTCCCAAGCCCGGCGCGCGCCCGGCCCCGCGCGCTCCGGCTTCGCGCGCCTGCCCCGCGGACCCGACCCCCCAGCCACGGCCGCGGGGTGCTGCAGAAGGTTTGCCTGCCCCGGGGCCCGCGGGGAGGGGCAGGCGGAAAGTGGCCCCTCTTCGCTTCTGATTCTCCTAACGACAAAGTTTGACGTTTCTGTATCAGGTTCCAGTCCTAAGCAGGTAGTATAGTTTTAATTTGCAAGGCAGCTAGTGTCCCAAACTTTTTTTTTTCTTTTTATAAGCAACTGCACATAGTTTGCAACGGAGTACCAAAATGTCTCTGGGATTGCGGGGAGGGGGTTGTCCAATACACCGTGAGGAAAGCCCCGGAGCAAAGTGAGCTGTGCTTGCTCCTCTACGGGACACTCGGGCTGTTGGAGGTGGCCTGCCAGGTGCAAAAGCGGACAGGGCGTGGAAGTCCCGGGGGGAAGCAGGCGGAGCAGCTGCCACCATCACGCGTGGAGGGCGTGGGAGGCAGGCAGAACGCAGAACTAAAGCAGTGACTGATCTCCCTCAGCAGAGAGGGCTGGCTTATCAAAGACTGGCGGTGAGTGCAATCCTGCAAAGGAGAGGTGGAGGGTGGAGTAGGGACTAGATCCATTACCGCACCTGAAATGTAAACACTTGATGATCCGGAAGCTCTTTAGCTCTGATCCTACCTACCCAAAGCCCCACCCTGCTTAGGACCCAGATTGCACGCAAACTATCTGAACACCAGCTCCTACTGTCACTTGTCCAAGAAAGCATGTAGGTAGTGGAGGGTTAATTTTCTGTTCTCAATAAACTGCCCACTAGGCATTTCCAAAAGCTTTAATCAACTAGGTGATGGCCACTTAGGCAATATCAGGTTGCATTTTTGCTTTAGAAATGCTTTCCTAATCCCCTTAGGTGCTACACCTTGCAACCACTAATATTCCCAAATGCCTCGTGGCTCCTGAGAAACTAGGTCTCATCAAACCTGTTAAATAATATAAGTATAATCAATAATAGTCAAGCAAACTACTTATAGTTAACTGCTTCATACTTTATCTTTTCAGTCCTTTTGTTTACAGTAAAATTGCATATTTACTAAATTCTCAAATTCTTTACATTGATTGTTGACTAGAAGATATTGGAAAATCGTCATCTCTTCACCTATGCAAGTAGTCTTTCAATTATCTCCTTTTTAATTATTTTAAAGCATCAGTAATATGAGAGTGTCACTTAACTTGCTGCCCTAGAAGTGCATATCATTGGATTTCTTCTAGATGGATCTACCTTAAGGCTCTTGTATTTTGAGACTTCAACTCCTAACTATAAATGTTGTTCCATAGCTCAGGATCCTGCTTCCGCATGTTTAAGGCACTTGCCCAAGACCCAGCGTGCAGGCCTTCCTTCAGATCCTCCACGTTTGGAGGTTTGGCCTCTTCAGACCAAACATGAAGATAATTAGCCCAGGATTCAGATAAGCAGACCTAACAAACTGTCGCAAATAGGAACCAGTTCTGCTTCCTTTCTCTGCCTTTTTAATGCCCGAAAGCCAAACTCTCAGGACTGAATGCTGCACAAGAAAGTTCTAATGGTTTCACTGTTTTGTTTGCTGAGATTATCATCTGTGCAAATAACTCAGCATTTGCATCACTAATAGACTTCTTTTAAAAGGAAAAGACATTTCAGTAGGGCTGGAACAGTTCTTTAGAGTTTTGTTTGTTCCACTTTGGCAGGGCCAAACTAGTCCTTTAGAAAAGAGATGGATTTTCATGTAAGGGCCTGATTTGTCATATGGGTTACAACATAAATAAAAAAGCTTTTGTGATTAACTGCTCACAATAAAATATTTTGTTCTTTGTAATACAGACAGCCAAATCCAGTGCCTTTTTTTTGTCTAACACTCCTTAACTTTGATAGAAGTAACACTAATGGTCATACTTTCCTAGAATCAGAGAAAGAGCTTCCCTCTTCTATGTTAAGAAGCATCCTTAGAAGTCATCTAATCTTTTCAATTTAGGAAATGCTTCTACAACATCTCTCCTGGATTACTGTTGCTTGAATACCTTTAGTAAAAGGTATTACTATTTTTCTATTAGTAATTATGATCATTCACTAGCACTGCTTCTCAAAGCAACCCACCACATTGTGAAATAGTGCGAGTGAATGATCATAATTACTAATAGAAAAATAGTAATATCTGACATTACCAAGTACTTACAAGTTGCCAGGAACTGAGTCGAGTACTTTCCATGTATTACCTCATTTAATTCACACAACAACATGATGGCATAGGTAATATTATCTCCATTTTATGAGGCACAGGTTAAGCTGCAAGGCAATTCAGAAAGCTCAAATTTGAACAGAGGCAGTATGACACCAACAGAGGCAGGCCAGACCCTTAGCCACTGTTCTATACTCTGCTTGTATAAAATATACTTTTTAAAATTTTTCTCTTATGCTAGCTAAAATCTGCCTCCTTGTAATGTAGTTAGAGGCAATGATTATTAGATTCTGGTGATATAGAATACAGAAAAGAAAAGCCACAGTGCCTGCCCTCAAGGAGTTTGCAATCTCACAAAATAGGGTAAGAGGCACAGAGGAGAGGCATTAATGCATTATTAATGCACAGGAAGAAGATTTAAGAATGATGTTAAAGCTGAACTTTGAAGAATGTTTATGAGTTAGCCAGTCAAACAAGGGGAGATGGTGCACTCCAGGCCAGCCGCTCAGCCCCTTAAAGCACCCATGTAAGCATCACACGGCAGGGAACACAAAAAGTTAAGTTGGGCAGTAGCCCATCTTCTGTTGGTCCATCCCTTGTGGGCTTCTGGCTTAGGAATCCCTTGATCCCCTGTACCAGCTTCCAGTTTCACCCTCAGGACCTCTTGTCTAACAACCCATTGGATCCACATCTTTTGGCTTACTGACCCCAGCCTTCTCCATCTAACATAACCACCATTCACATTTTCAGTATACCAACAGCCCTGGAAAAGGAATGCTGAGCAAGACTTAGCTCCAAGAAAGACTCATGACAAGCAGGACATCCACCAAAAGAGGAAAATCAGATACAAGCATGGATGTGAAATAATATGGCACATACGACAGGTAATTGTGCCTAAATTCTGGGCACAGAGGGAGATGGTGACAATGAGACCAAAAGGTTAGATTTCTTTTTTAAATTTAAAAATTTTTATTTTTCCCCCAGCTTTATTGAGGTATAATTGACAAATGAAAATTGAATATATTTTACAGTGTACCATGTGGTATTTTTATATATGTATACATTTTGAAATGATTACCACAAACCAGCTATAAAAATGTACTTATAAAATTCAGACTTTCTTCAGAAATAAAAAGTTCCACTTTGAAAAGTCAGGAACTGGCTTGTGAAGAGCTTGTAGTCAGTTGGGTTATGGCGTGTTTAGCCTCCAGAGTTCCAAGAGGTTATATAGCCTAGCCTAGCGCAGCTCTGAACTGGGCTACCCAGGTTTAAATCTTGTCTCTGTTCCCTTACTGAAGGACCTTGAGAAGTTATTTCGAACTAAGACTTTTATCAAGAGTCAAAGAGAAAATATATGTAAAAGTAGTGCCTGGCACCACAGTAAAGTATTAATTACTATTAATACTAAATTACTAAACTAAATAATAAACTACTAAACTAATACTAAATTACTAAGCTAATACTAAATTACTAAATACTAATTACTAAATCCACAAAGTATTAATTACTATTATTTTGAGAATATTTTAGAAGGTTCTAAAAGATGACAGTCATGGAGACAGGGATGCAGATATGATTTAGGAAGCAATTACAAGAACATACATAAATGAGACCCTGACTTAAGGCCAGGAATGCTGAGGATGGAGAAAAGGGAAAGAACTCAGGAGATAATTGGAAGATATTACAGGCTTGGGAAGGTGAGGAATGGGCAGAGTCATGGGTGACGTGCAGGCTTCTGGCTTAAGCAATTGGGAGGGTTGTGATAGCATTAGCCATAAGAAAGGGAACTGGTATTATTTGGGGGAGGGTTTTAGCACTGGATCAAAGTAGTTTCTGTTTTATACCTGCATTTGAGGTGCTCAACTGAAAATATAAAATTAGTGATAAATATGTGGGTCTGAAACAAACAAAAAAATGTCAGGGCTAGTTTTTAGATTTGAGGAGTTATAATTCAGAAAAATGTACTGAGCATCCATCATGTGCCACCTACTATATTAGATCCTGACAATGCAATAGGCATGGTCCCTGAACTCAAATTGAAAATACAGACAAGAAGTGTTCAGGGAATTACGTTACAGTGAGATTGGTACAGGGAGCAAAGCCTGAAAGAAACATCAGATGCCCCTAGAGCTCATAATTTGGCTCTTTTTGAAACCAATATGTGTTTTTTATTTTCTTTAGACCAATATTTTTGAGAACATGTACTCAACGTTTATTTACAGGCTGGGCAGAGCTCTGCCTGGCTGTGAGTGGAGCTGGGAGTCATAAGGTGTCAGTTCTCAGCCTCCACTCTTAGTATGCGCAATTCAGCTCGGTTCCCAGATTTGCATACCTCCCAACATAGTGTTTCCTAATGAGATTGTATTAGCATTTTGGGTGGGACTAATTTTCCTTGTGTGGGATGGTCCCCATGCATTCTAATATCCCTGCCCCCCCATGTCTGTACTGCTCCCAGCCATACTGACATCAACAACAGAAGTGGCCACTCATATTTTGAAAGTCCAGAGTTCAGATAGGGTGTGTGTGTGTGAGTGGCTGGATCAAGAGTGTTCGCCTGTCATGTCCCTTGGGAGAAATATCACCCACACATACTGTTTATCAAAGTGTTCTTTTCCAGCTCATACAGTATATTCACTGAGAGAAGTTCTGATATGTAAACTATTATCCTTTGTATTACATTTCCAATGTTTAACACCCAAGTGATGTTTCACTGCCCTCCCTGGATTCACATTCAAGATTCCACCTGCTCCTTATCACATAGATCCTAGGATCACTTAGGAGAGCACCAAATCTAGTCTTTCTAGGTTATGGAAGTCTTCACAAAAGAAGGAATGTCTAAGCTGAGATTTAAAGAAACAAGTAGAGAATTATCCAGGCAAGAAGGTATACTCCATACCAAAAGTATTACGTTCAAAGGAATGAAAGTAGTTCTGTCCATGGTGGATATGGTAACAGATGAGTGTGGAGTGGTAAACAGGGGCCAGTCCATGAAAGAGCATGTAAATTGTGTTAAATAACTTGGTTTTTAGTTTGTTTGTTGTTTTTGTTTGTTTGTTTTTTACTGAGAACAAAAAGGAGATATGATGGGTTTCCAGCACATGAATAACATGCTCTTATTGTTGCAGTGTGGAGACCGAATTGGAGGCAGGTGGCAAGACTGGAGTCATGATGGGAGAAGAGTTAGGAGTCCCTCACAGTAGTAGAGGTGAGAGAAAATGGGGGCCTGAATCAACATCTGGAGTATCAACGTATAACAATGGTAGTATATAAAATTGGAGGTTGAGATGAATTCTCATAGGGAAGATGTATGAAATAAACAGAAAGTGAGTTCCTAGAAAACTTCAACATTCAGGGTGTGAGAAAAAGAAAGAGAATTCAGCAAAGAAGCCCAGGAAGGTGGAACCCCATATGATATGTGGGAATAGAGTGGTATAGCACCCGTAAGAATGAACAACTCAGGTCTCCCCTCAGGGAAGCACCTGCTCTGTGGAGTGTGATTGGCTGACAGTCTTCAGCTACCACATCTTTAAGATCCATCATAGCATTTTTGTAAAGGTCTATCTCCCCAGATGCTCCCAGCCAATAACTGAGCACGGCCATTCCTGCCCAATGAAGTTTCCTCTAATGGGCAGTCATTGCTCTGGGACTCCCCGTTGGCCTGACTGAGGCTTTCTCAGAGCTGCCCTGAACACTGGCTCTTCCTACCCAATCCTTCTTCCTTCTCTCACTCTCTTCACAGGTATTAAAACATGCATTATAATCTGAGACTTTTCCCTCCTATTCCTGCTCCTCTTTATCCTTCACAGGTGTTTCCACAGATAAGTATCTTGCATTTCTAATTCAATCTTACCATCTGCTGTACTGGTACAAATGGTACCAATGAAGCAAAAGAGGGAATTTTAAGAAGAGAGTGGATTGACAGTATTAAATGCCAAAGAGCGACTAAAAAAGAGGGAGACAGAAAGTATCATTAGTTGTCATTATGGAGATCAGTGCTTAACTATCCTATTTCTTCTGCTGCTGTTGTATCTCCTCTTAGGTATATTCTCCAAAATCCCCTTCAACCTTTCTCATACATCATGATCTCCATACATCTCATCTGGACCCCCTCATTTGGACACATTTAATTTGTTAATATCTTTCTAAACACTGGCAAAGAATTGAGCTCAGTATTCCAAATACAGTCTGGTCAATGTTGACTGTGGGAGGATTATAACTACCTATTATCTGAATACTATATTGTAGCCTAAACTTTGATGCAATTGTTTACTACCACAACAAACTCAGGGCCACAGCATTGCCTAACTCCAGGTGATGCCATTCTGACTATTATCTATAATTATAAAATCCTCAACTCCCACTTGGCCCCTGGGTCCTGATCAAGAAACATCTTCAAAAATTGTATTTATTCCCCTCTGAATCAGAGCATCACAGGTATTCTTGGACCCACAGCCATAAAGTGTGAGGGACAAGAAACATGGTCTCATATATCCTACTGTAAAGTTCCCGGCCTGCTAACAGTTTATCAGACCAGATACCATCTTCTCATCCCCAAGCAGATATGCCAACAAAACTGAGCACCAAGTATCTCTACACAATATTGCTACCAGGTAAGATCTTGAAAAGGTGAATTATCTAGATGAGAACCTCCTATCATCCTGGAAGGCCAGGATTTCAATGGGGTGCTCTTTGGCCTGCACTGTAGGTAACTGATATCTTTTCAAACTCAACCTGTCCTTGAGGGTACAGGCTGTGTGAAAAATAGACAATAAAATATAGTCGTGCACGGGGGTATAGCTCAGTGGTAGAGCATTTGACTGCAAATATAGTTGTGCACTGCATAACACTTCGGTCAATGACGGACCACATATACGACAGTGATCCCATTAGATTATAACGAGTGGAAAAATTCTGATCGCTTAGTGATATAATAACCAGGATAATGTCAAAGCTGAGTACATTATTCACATGTTTGTGGTGATGGTGTAAACAAACCTACATTGCTGCCAGTTATATAAAAGTATAGCACATACGCTTATGTACAATACATAACACTTGGTAATAAATGACTGTATTACTGGTTTATGTATTTAATATACTTTTAAAAAATGTTTTCAATATACTTCTTATCATTATTTTAGCATATACTCCTTTTCTATTTATTAAAAAAAAAAGTTAACTGTACAACAGCCTCAGACAGGAGGCATTACAGAAGGCATTATTATCATCAGAGATGACAGCTCCCTGCATATTACTGCCTCTGAAGACCTTCCAGTGAGAAGATGTCAGAGGTGGAAGGCAGTGATATTGATGATCCTGACCCTAGGGTAACGTGTGTGTTTGTGTCTTAGTTGTTAGCAAAATGTTAAAATAGTTTTTTAAAGTAGCTTGTAGAATAAAGATATAAAGAAAGAACATATTGTACAGCTGTACAATATATATTTTAAGCAAAGTGTCAATAGTCAAAGTGTTTAAAAAGTTAAAAGTTTATAAAGTTATGGTAAGCTAAGATAAATTTATTATTGAAAACAAATTTTTTTTTAAATTTGGTGTGGCTTAAGTATAGTGTTAGTAAAGTCTGCACTAGTGTACGGTAATATCCTAGGGCTTCACATTCACTCACCAATCACTTACTGACTTACCCAGAACAACTGCCAGTCCCACAAGTTCTATTCATGGTAAGTGCCCCGTACAAGTGTACCTTTTTTTTTTTTTATCTTTCATATTGTATTTTTACTGTACCTTTTCTGTTTAGATACACAAATATTTAATATTATGTTACAAATAACTACAGTGCTCAGTATAGTAACATGCTATACAAGTTTTATAGCCTAGAAGCAATCAGCCAGCCCATAGCGCCTAGGTATGTAGTAGGCTATGCTATCTAGGTTTGCGTAAATACAATGTATGAATGTCCACACAAGGACGAAATTGCCCAACAATGCATTTCTCAGAATGTATCCCTGTCTTTAAGTGACACACGACTGTACTGAAGAACTATAAGGAAGTGCTGGCTGAATACAGACTCAGCGATAGACTGAGAGATGGCTGAGATCATCTTTTAGATAAAATCCTGATTATATTTATCTGCTATCCCATGATAGATCAAAGCATGGTGTTTCCCTGATTCCCTTTTATATAATATCCAACCTAGAATTCCCCTCAGATGCCCCCAGTTAAGAGTCATTGCCTTGTGTCCTAGTTCCCAAATACAAAGTGAGGCCACTGTTGGGCCAGACTGAACTGGCCCAGAACAAATATAGTTACACACATTGTGTTTCCAGAGTGGCTTACTGCCCCAGGGTGTTATCCCACTGGCCTTTTCATTAGAAGCTTTATTGTACTTTACTATTACTCCCCTAGGAGGACTCCACCCCTGCCCAATAAAACCTGTACAGTAGTAAAGCAATCTATTAATAGATCTAGAAAGTTCATCTTTTTGAAAAAATAATTGATTAATTTGGTTTAAACCTGGATTGGAGTTTTTCTTGATCAAAACAGGAAAAAAAAAAACAACCTAGAAGCTCAGTTAAATAGTTCAAATACCAGAATTTTCCATTATCCCTTACTCTCTGCTCCCAGCACAAGGTGGATTTGAAGGAAACCCATTTCTCAAACTGACCCAGATCTCTGCTCCAGATCCATTTACTGGGTCTGAGCTCATGGCAAAGCCCATCTGGATCAAGGCATGCCTCTGCTCAGTATTAGAGCCAGACCTTCAGCCTGGGATCTAATCATCTGGGTTACTTAAAGATACTTTTTAAAAATATATGTTTAACTTAGTAGTTAAACATAAATTAATAGTTAAACTGGTAGTATGAACTTTCTCGGCTGAGCATCTGGTACTATCAGAATAGTTTTAACATGTGTTGATGGAATAATTGTTCTCATTGTAAAAGGAGCAAAAGGAAGGAAACTCATGAAATTTTCCCTGCTACTTTGTATTTTACTTACAAATGGATAAGCTCCTGTATGAAATTTGTAAATAGCCATTTTCAAGTTTAAGTGTGGAGCTGTGTAGAGGCAGTCCGTATCTGTCTCAACGTCAGAAAATGTTTCTGTGAACTTGTAATTGCTTAAAAGTATAACACTCTTATATTGCTGATACCAGTATTTGCGCTTTATGTATCCTTTCACCTAAGATGAGTGTTCTGTCATTCCACATAAACCCAAAACACTATGTCTGCAAATCTGAGTGCAGTCTGTTTTCTGCTATGTGGTACAAGCCTCTTAATTGGTCTCTTCGGCCCCATTCTCTTCGTCTTCTGATAGTACCACACCTGGCCAATAAACATGCTTCTAAAATGCCAACAATGGAAACATGGAAATCCTGAGGGGAAGCTAAATTTGGAATAAATGTGAGTTCACATTCAGGCAAGTTGAGTTGGAGGAAATGAGAGGGCATTCAAGGAGGAGCTATTGCAAGGATAGTAAGATTCAGAGGCAAAGTGCAAGAGGGTAAGTTTGAGCCATACAAATAAAGACCATAGTTAGAGTCACGAGATCTCTGAGTGAGGTCTGAGGGTGTAGAATGATGGTGAACAATCTTTTTTTTTTCTTTCTTTTTTTTAAACAAGGGCCACTGAAACAAAGAAGGACTTCATTTTTTTAAACATTCAAAGTAAAAATAAAAGTCACTGAATTCCGTGACAGAAATATATGCTGTGAGATGATTTAGTAAGATCTAAGTATTCTTTCTTCTCCCAGGCAAGTGTTTTCCAGCTTTTCCTTGATATATTTATGGTGTGGAATTTAGGGAATGGATATTGGAGGTCTGAGTGGAAAAGTGAGGATAAAGGGGGTAATTTAACCAGGGAGGAGGTGTCAATCTTTAAAAATATTTAGAGAAGGAAGAAAATAAAAGTCCAATAAGTTAAATACTAAAGAAAGAGAATTTATGTTTAAGGACTGAAGAGAATAGAATGGAATTCAAGTGTGGCTCTATACAATGAATAGATTCCTTTTTGATGTTCTTTTGTAATTGCAAGTAAAGATTAGAATACCTTTATTCAATTGCTATGTATCTTTATATGTGACCCTGAGCGGAGTCTGAGGTACATGGGACTCCAGTATTTATTAGGATCATAGGAAAAATGCCAATGAGAAACTTGGCAATGCTTTGAAGCCAATAAAATGTTATCTGGTCATATCTAAGAAGTCACAACACAGAAACAGCTTTCTAATCTTTTATAACTTAATTTGCATGGCTCTTTAGAGCTTATAAATATCTCCACATTTATATCTCATTTTAACTTTGGAATGACTTCTTGAATTATTATCATCCATAATTTATAGACGGGGAAATTGAAGCTTAGAGAAGTGAAAGCCAGAAGCAGATCAGGATTCCTAATTAGTTTCAGTCAATTTAACATCTACTGACCCTTGATCTGAGTTTCAGGTTGTACCAGATATTGGGAATGCAACAGTGAATAAAGTCTGTACCCAGTCCTCAACCACCACACCATTCCTTTTTTTACTTTTTCTCCATTCTCTCCCAGAGTTTGATGTCCACTGTTAGCTTGGGTTGGGCTGGTTTATAGTGAGATCCAACCCTGAGCATCACCTACATAAACAGCCAGCTTACAGGAAATAGTGACTCAAGGGTACTCTGGCAGTTCCAAGGCTATGAGGTAGGTAGTCATTAGAGTTGCAGGTAAAGAAGAAATGGGAATTCTTACTACTGACAGGACTATAAATCGGTACAATCACATAAGAAGGCAATTTAGCAAGATCCAATAAGCTAAAGATGTCCTTATCTTACAATCTAACAATTCCACTTCTCCATGTTTGCCCAAGAAACTCTCCCTTGAATGCACAAGGGGACGTGTAAATGAATGTTCACTGAGCATTGTTTATAACAGGAAAGGAATTGGAAATGACCTAAATTTCTACCAACCTGAGAATGGATAAGCAAGTTGTTGTGTGATCGCACAGTAGAATACTGTAAGTTAAAATAAATGAACTAAGACTAGAACTAGACTATGCATAAATCTCAAAAAAATGTAACTGAGTAAAAAAAGAAAGCAGAATATACATAAAGCATACTACCATTTACATTAAACTGAAACACATGAAACAATTCTAGATACTTCTATGTGATAAACATTTGAAAATATTCATGGTAATAATAAACTCCATATTCAGGATAGCTGTTACCCCTGCTGAGGAAAGAGGATAATGATATGGCATACAAAAGGCTTTAGCTGGCCTGGCACGGTGGCTCATGCCTGTAATCCTAGCACTCTGGGAGGCCGAGGCGGGCGGATTGCTCGAGGTCAGGAGTTCGAAACCAGCCTGAGCAAGAGCGAGACCCCTAGAAAGAAATTAATTGGCCAAATAATATATATAGAAAAAATTAGCCGAGCATGGTGCTGCATGCCTGTAGTCCCAGCTACTCGGGAGGCTGAGGCAGCAGGATTGCTTGAGCCCAGGAGTTTGAGGTTGCTGTGAGCTAGGCTGACGCCATGGCACTCACTCTAACCTGGGCAACAAAGCTAGATTCTGTCTCAAAAAAAAAAAAAAAAAAAGGCTTTAGCTGACTCTGTATTTTTTCTTTACTTAAAAAAAAAAGTGGATGTGAAGTAAATATGACAATAAGTTAATATTTGGCAAAGCTGAGTGGGGTGGACAGAAGTTTGGTATATTATTTTCTATACTTCATATGCTTGAAATTTTTCTTTCAAAGGTATATATGGGCTCTAGACTCTGGAATTATAGGCTCTTGGGTTTTGGTTTTTGTTTTTTTTCCTTTACAGAATTTTCTTTCTCTTTTTCCCCCTCTTCCTGTGTTGAAATTCCATTCATTCTTTGATAACTAGCTCAAGTCTCACCACCTTATGGAGAATTTCCATAATGACTTTGTCAGTCCACACTATTTTCTCCCTTTTCTAAACCACCGTAAGTCTATGCAGTTCTCTTTTATAGTATGTTTGTATGAACAGACTTCTTTCATGTAGATGTTTAAATATATATTGGCTTGCATTAGTATTTGACTTTATACACAAACCTTGTTTCTCCAATTACATTGTAAGAGTCTTAAGAGTAGGGACAATGTTTTAAACTTTGTTAATTCTTCCTCTGTGCCAAGCAGAACCTAACCAAATACTTATATTAAAGAAAAGTGATATATTCATCAATAATGATAACTGCTCCTACAAAACCTGAATGAACATAGAAAGTTGAAAATACTCGTCTGAACTACATTTGCTTTTATTTTCCCAGAGAGAGAATGCTAATGAGCTGTGAAATGACCAAAAATCTGGCAGCAGAAGGGAAAAGACAAAAAATAACGGGTTTGTATATTACACATTCTGGATAATCAGCTCTTGAATGATTAAGTGTGGAAGATGTCTTATGGGGAAAAGCAGATTTTAAAAACTCATTTTATGACCATGGAATTGTTTTATTGACCATTTCCAGTTTTCAGAGGATCCTAGGCCAAACTTACAAATTATTTTGGATAAACAAAATGCTCTTATGATATGCTGCATAACCACACACATATATACCTCGTTGTTGTCCTGTCTTCACTTCAGTGTTTATGGGGCTGGACGTGGGAATGGTGGTCTGGGGAAACTAAAAAGCAAAAATTGTTCCTGTGGAATCAGGGAGGGATTTGGGAGGAAAAAAATTACTTTGAGTGAATTCACTCTTGGTACATATAAATAGTGCTTGGTGCTTGAGGCAACCACTTGAAATTAAAGTTTGCCTGAAACCTCAAAATAAAAGGTTAGTTTGTACTAGTCTAGATGAAAGCTGAAGAGCACAGGAAATAATAAGGGTGCTGGACTACATTGTCTCTCTTTGGAATTGAAAGTTGGGATTGAAGAAGGAGACACATTTAGGAATTAATATGGTTACTTTTTAGCAAACACAGCAGTTGCTATGATCTAGATCTGTGGTCCCAACCAACCCCTGGGCCGTGGACCTGTCAGTAGCCTGTCGGGAACAAGGCCACAGAGCTCTGCTGCGCCCACCCTCCCCACTACCCCTTCTGGTCCTTAGACAAATTATCTTACATAAAACCAATCTCTGGTACTAAAAAGGTTGGAAACTGCTGGTCTAGATCAAAATTACCACCACTTGGCCCCTGGATATTCTCCTAATGGACCTTTGTAATATATTAAACCCAGGCCACAATCTCATGGTTCTTTGGCCTAGGTGCTACAACAGCCAAAATATAATTCCCTAAATTAAAACTTACCTACAGGTGTATTTATGACTTCTGAGTACCTCAGGGAGAGTATATCTCTGAAAACAATTATTTCCCTCTATGTCATTTGTAGACTAGCAAAGAAAACAAAAGACACGAAAATATCTTACAGTTTGGTAAGACTTTGTGTGTATTTCCTCATTTTCACTCCATTTGTAGCTGTTAACATTGAAGCAAAATCCTAAAGCGAAGTGACCAGAGTATTCCCGTAGTCATGATGAGCCTTATCACTGCTCTCTACAATTGTTTCTTTCTCCAAATAAAGAGAAGCAAGACTAGTGGTGGTATATAAGGAATATATATTGTGAATATATTGGGTTCTCAAAGTTCCTACAGTCTAAGTAAATGTTTGTAACTTAGAATTAATTCCCCATGGAAATAGCGTGATTAATTATGATTCAATTCCAAGGCAAGGGCACAAAACCTAATATAATCTTAGTGTATATGGCAGGGCAAATTGGATGAGAAATTGTATTTTCTTTTCTTGTCGATTGGCTCATTATGGAAAAATGAGAAGTATTTTTCCCTTCTCCTCTCCAGAGGGAGGCTTAAGATGTGGTGATTTTCTGATGCTTAAGCTCATAGAGGCAGAAGACTCAATTATCTGGAATGAGAAAAGCACCAGGAAAAGGGAAATGGCCTGACTTCAGGAGACTTTGGATCTCTTGGACCTGCGTAGAGAGAACCAGACAGAAGTTAGTTTCTATAAATGGTGAGGACTTATGCCCACTCTCAGATAGACCAGAATGGTATAGATCTCTGATGGGGATACCGGCAAGGATATCTTATCTCAGAAATGGTAAAAATACTAAGTTATACTAGGCTATAATAAGCCAAGGGTGAATGTTATAAACTCTAGTGTTAGGATTAAGAGAATAGGAAAAGTATATATAAGTAATATAATGTGTAAATAATAAAAGGGAGAAAAAAATAATAAAAACACTTGATTAAGCCAAAGAAAGGCAAGAAAGAAGATTTTTTAAAAAGCAAGTAACAAATGAGACAAACAGAAAAAATAATAAAATGGTAGCTATGAAGGAGGTGGAAGCGGTGGGTAAATACACACTTCAGGGGTACAATGCACACCATCTTGGTGATGGGCACACTTATAACTTTGACTCAGACTGTACAAAAGCAATTCATGTAACCAAAATGTTTGTACCCCCAATAATATTCTGAAATTTAAAAAGAATAAATGTGAAAGTGCTTTGTAAAACTATAAAAAATGGTAGCTATGAACCTAATTATATCATTAATTACCTTAAATAAAAAAATCACATGATATTCCACTAAAAGGCAAAGATTGTCATGCTGGTTAAAATGATTGTACATGCTTCTCTAGATTTTTCCCTCAAAAAAAAAAAATGATTGTACATGGTTTTTACAAAAGATACAAGAGCTATAATCTTGACATAATAACACAGAAAGGTTAAAAATAAAAGAGTAGAAAAAGACATGTTATGCAAACACTAACCCCTGAAAAAGCTGGTATGGCTGTACAATAACATACAATGTAGATTATAAGGAAAGAAGCATTATTAGAAATAAAGCACCAGCCTCAGCAATAGCCAGACCCTGTCTCTACAAAAAATTTTAAAAAACATTTTAAAAATTAAATTACATTAAATTTTAAAAAGTTGCTTGAGCCCAGGAGTTTGAGGTTATAGTGAGCTATGATGATGCCACTGTACTCTAGGCTGGGCGACAGAGTGAGACCTTGTCTCAAAAAAAAAAACAAAAAGATAAATAAATGAGGGTAAATCTCAACAATGTAGTACTACCCAACAATGAGAATGAATGAACTACTGCTACATATGACATGGAAGGAGCTTATAAGCATAATATTGCTTGAAAGAAACAATACACAAAAAGTGACATTTATTTAAAGTTTAAAACCAGAAGATACTAAGTTATGGTGATAGATGTCAAGATTGTGGTTACTTCACAGGTCATAATTGGGTGGGAACACAAGAAGGCTTCTAGATCTAGTGCCAGTAGTCCTCCTTGATCTTCAGAGTATTTACATGGGTGAGTTCACTTTGTGAAAATTCATTGAGATTCTACGCTTATTTGCCATTTTATTTATGTATGATCAATAAAATTTCTATTTAAAAAGCTCCAATCACACCAATACCTGTATAACAGTCGTAATACAGAGTATAATTTATAACCAAGTAAATTCTATTCATCTGAATTTGCCTGATCTAATAATATCTTATAAATGGAAATCTAAACATACAAAATAGAAAATTACTTGTAGCACAAAAGCACCTATCACTTTATAGTGCAACATATCAAATGCATGAAAAGAACAAGGATAACACCATAGCAGATCCATTTTTCAATTTTGTAAATTTATCCTAAGGAAAGAAGTAACTCAACAAAAGCACAATGCTTGCTATGAATATGTTCATTTTAAACATTATGTCTGCTAGCAAAACACTAGAATCAGCCCAACTATCCAAACACTGGATCAAGATTTAATAAATTATGATATAGTAGTACAAGATAATAATATACATTAGAAATGGTGAATAGAAGACCTTGTAGAAACACTAAATATTTTTGCAGGTATGTTAGGTAAAAAAATCTAAATGTAAGGGGCTATGTACATCATGATTCTAATTACACAAAAGTGGATCAACAGGTAATAGGAACAAATAAAAAACTGTTGTGTCGGAGTGGTAGATTTATGGATCTTTTAGGGGGAAAGGAGGTGCCCCCCAAAATATACCTTATTATTATTTGGATCAGTTAGAGTTCTTTTGTTGCAAGCAACAAAAACTAACCTAAATGTGAAAAAGATTTATGAAGCCATATAGGAGTAGCTTATAGAATTAAAGGAGTTGCTGAATGACCAAGAGGAAGAACAAAAACCAGGAAAGTTACATAAATCTTAGCAACAAAAGTTCTTTAGCCATCTCTCTAGGATTCTGCCCCCTGATGACTAGCTTTAAATACCTTCTATCTCCATGTGCCTCCCGTTAGCATTCAAATTAATGGAAGAGAAAATTCGATCATTCCAATCACAGTCGTGTATCCACCTTGTCCTTTGATTGGCAACCACATCAGAACCACTTAGAGTTAAGGAAAGGCACTTCCCTAAGAGAGTGGGGTAGTGCTGTGACCAGAAGAACAAGGAGTGAAAGGATGCTGAACAGACCCAAACAACAGTTCCATGGCATCTGATGTCATCTTTTCAGTAAATAGAATAGTTATGGCCAGGCATAGTAGCTAACACCTGTAATCCTAGCGCTCTGGGAGCCCGAGGAGGGCAGATCGCTCAAGGTCAGGAGTTCGAAACCAGCTCTGAGCAAGAGTGAGACCCCGATCTCTACTAAAAATAGAAAGAAATTAATTGGCCAACTAAAAAATAAATAGAAAAAAATTAGCCGGCCATGGTGGCTCGTGCCTGTAGTCCCAGTTACTCGGGAGGCTGAGTCAGAAGGATTGCTGAGCCCAGGAGTTTGAGGTTGCTGTGAGCTAGGCTGACGCCATGGCACTCTAGCCTGGGCAACAGAGTGAGACTCTGTTTCAAAACAAAGAGAAAAAAATAGAGAAAAAAACAGTTATTACTACTTTTTTTCTTATATTAAATGAAGATACATTTATTGAAGAAATTTTGCAAAATTCAGAAAAATATAAAGTAAAAAAAGAAAAAGAAAAAAATCACCTTCATCCCATTATCCATAATCCTGTATTAATTATCGATTACAACATAATAAATAAATTGCTTTCAAAATCAGGGTGACCAAAGCCAGAAAGTAGATTAGTAAAGGGGATGGAAGGACTGAGGTGTGATAGCTAAAGGGTATGGGATTTTTTTTTAAGTTCTAAAATTGAATTATGGTGATGGTTGTACAACCCTGTGAATGTAGTAAAACCATTGAACTTTTGGTGGGTGAATTTTATGGTATGCAAATTGTATCTGAATAAAGCTACATTTAAAAAAATCCTAAGGTGACCAACCATCCCAGTTTGCCTAGGACTTCTCTGGCTTTAGTACTGAAAGTCCCACATTCCAAGGAACTCCTCAATCCTGGTAAAACCTGGACAGGTAATCTGCCTACTCAAAATTTTGTAGCTTAAAACGATAAACATTTGTTATCTCAGTTACTCTAGATTAGGAATCAAGAAGGAGCTTAACTGAATATTTCTGGCTAAGGGTCTCTGGTGAAGTCACGGTGTTAGCTGGGGCCACAGCCATCTGAAGCTTGATCTGGGTTGGGGATCTGCTTCCAAGGTCACTCATGGTTTTGACAAGAGGCCTCACTGTCTTTTCATGTGGGTCTCTCACAGTGTGCCCTTTTGACATGACAATTCGCTTTCCCCAAGTGCAAGTGAGAGAGAGAGAGACTAAGATAGATGCTATAGTGTCTTTCATAACCTCATCTTGCCATCACTTCTGCCATATTCTATTAGCCACACAGAGATCAACTCTGGTACAATTTGGAAGAGGACTACCCAAGGGTATTCACACAAAGATGTGAATATAAGGAAGCCAAGATCACTGGACAATCAAGGATGCTGACTCCCACCAACTACAATTCTAACTCTAATCCTGCCTGCACTTTACCAACATTTTGCTAATTTTTAAATTAAAGCATGCTCATGATAGAATACATGGACAATTCAAGAGTATAATAGTGAAATATGTTATGATGAACGCCTCTGAACACAAATTTTACTTCTGTAACTGATTAGATAGGATAGACTTCCAGATGTGTGATTATTAGGGCACATGGCTTAAGCATCGTAAGACTCTTGTTATGTAGTGCCAAATGCTTTTCTGATACTTGCAGTGTATTGGATGTCCATTTTGCCATACCCCTGCTAGCCTCAACTATTACTGTTAGTAACTCTGCCAATTTCTAGGTGAAAAAATTGTAGCTGCCTGTTTCAGGGTGCTTTTTGAATAGTAAGCTTGGACATTTTTCAGTATGTTCAGTGGCCACCACTAATAAATAAGCAGGTCATATATCCTTTCCAGATATATTCATGCGGTCATTTAATATTTATGGAGTTCTATTGTAAGAACAAGGAAGTGTCCCTGCTCCTGAGATGCTCACAGTCAAGTGAGTAGCTTTAGCTAAAGATTGCCACTAGCCCAAGGCCATGCCCCCTTCCTGGGGTGGCCTACATCCAGTGATTGATCACAGTGGGGAATATGAAGTCCTGGTCCCCTAGCCCCAATATGAGACAACTTTGCAAGTTCATCCCAGCTTTGGAGCTCCTCAAAGTTCAGCTGAGGCCTGCATTGAGACCGAATCCCAACGTCTCCCTTTGCCGAATCTTGCTCCCTTCTCTTCTTTTTTCTGCTTCTACTCTTTCCATTATATCTTTCCCATCCCTTCTTTTTCTTTATTCCCCTTTTTCTTCTTTTCCTTTGTGATCAACAGTTGTTTGATTGGTGAGCATTCCCAAATAACATTTTTTTTTTGAGATAGGGTCTGGCTCTGTCACCAGGAGTAGAGTGCCATGGCATCAGCCTAGCTCACAGCAACCTCAAACTCCTGGGCTCAAGCAATCCTCCTACTTTAGCCACCCAAGTAGCTGGGACTACAGAGGCATACCCCCACACCCGGCTAATTTTTCTATTTTTTGTAGAGATGGGATCTCGCTCCTGCTCAGACTGGTCTCAAACTTCTGACCTCAAGCGATCCTCCTGCCTTGGTCTCCCAGAGTGCTAGGATTACAGGTGTGAGTCACTGTGCCCGGCCCCCAAGAACATTTTCTACATACTAATATTCATCCTAGAATCTGCTTCCCAGGGAACCTAACCTGTGACACCCTCTGGGGAAGGCTACACGTGGAGTATTAGGATGTGTGGCCTCCTGTGGCTAGCAGCCAAGAGGAGAACGGGTGGCTCAGAGCTAGCATGCCCGCTTTGTCTTTTTCAAATGCACAAATCATGAGTCCCTCCACTTTCCATGAGATAGAGTGGTTA